AAGATCTTGTCTAGTTAGAAAATATTTAGGCCAAGAAAAAACAACCTTCTTTTTCTTTTAGCATTTGTCACTTTTTAATTTGCACCACATTTAACTGCAAACACCTTTAATTCCCTTGCGGTGCTGAAAATTCTGCAAGAATGTTCATCTTTGTATCCTCTGCCCAACAGCACTTGCATATATATAGAAATTGACTCAGGGCTCTTTTGGTGAAGAATTTCAACAATGATAGAGATTGAGTATTATCACATTTTGATATTTAGGTTGGCTCTTATTTCCTTCTATTGTGTAGTGGAAAACATTGAAATTCCAGAGAAAAAAATGAAGAAGATTCCTATAACATATGTCTTGATTTAATTCCACAAAAATGAATTGTATAATTTAAATATACTTTCACTAAAATTGCTATTTAATACATTCCCAATTTTCACTGTAGACTCATTTTTCTTTAAAAACTGAGATAACTTAGATAAAGGTACACTAATAACAAAATATCCTAGTAGTTTATTCAGAGTGGAAACTTTCAAGATTTTTCATATTCCAGACATCATCATTGGATAAAAGAAGATTGGAATATGCCTCCATTTTTTTTAAAGATTTTATTTATTTATTTGAGAGAGAGAGAGAATGAGAGAGCATGAGAGGGGGGAAGGTCAGAGGGAGAAATAGACTCCCCGCTGAGCAGGGAGCTGATGCGGGACTCCATCCCGGGACTCCAGGATCATGACCTGAGCCGAAGGCAGACGCTTAACAGACTGAACCACACAGGTGCCCCTATACCTCCATTTCTAGACACATTATCTTTATGCTCTAGTGTCTCTTCCTTCTGATAAAACCTTGGAAAAAACTCATGTCAGTGAAAATAAACCCCACCATATTAAGATCCAAGGTGAATGTTCTCTTTCCAACTAAGTTCCAATCATGTCACAGTCTTTTAAATAAGATAATAAACTTATTTTTCCAGTTTTGTTGAGAATTGACATGCATCACTGTTTAAGGTGTACAGCATAATGGTTTGACTTATACATATATTATGAAAGGATTACAATAGGTTTAGTTAATATTCATCTTCTCACATAGATACAGTAAAAGAAAATAAAAAAAATTCTCCTTGTGATGAGAACCCTTAGGATCTAGTCTTTTAACAACTCTCCTATATATCACACAGCAATGTTAACTTTAGTCATCATGGTATAAATGACATCCCTAGTATTTATAACTGGAAGTGAAGTAATAAGCTTATTTTTTTTTATTCTTATGTTAATCCCCATACATTACATCATTAGTTTTAGATGAAGTGTTCCATGATTCATTGTTTGTGCATAATACCCAGTGCTCCATGCAGAATGTGCCCTCCTCAATACCCACCACCAGGCTAACCCATCCTCCCACCCCCCTCCCCTCTAGAACCCTGTTTGTTTTTCAGAGTCCATCGTCTCTCATGGTTCGTCTACCCCTCCGATTTCCCCCGCTTCATTCTTCCCCTCCCGCTACCTTCTTCTTCTTCTTCTTTTTTTTCTTAACATATATTGCATTATTTGTTTCAGAGGTACAGATCTGAGATTCAACAGTCTTGCACAATTCACAGCGAGTAATAAGCTTATTTTTTTATAAATATTGATTTATTTATTTGAGAGAGAGAGAGATTGAATCATGGGGGGGTGCAGAGAGAGAGAGACAGAGGGGAAAGGAGAGAAGCAGACCCTCAGCTGAGCATGGAGCCCACTGCAGGGCAATCTCATGACCCTGATATCATGACCTGAGCCAAAATCAAGAGTCAGACTCTCAACCGACTGAGCCACCCAGGTGCCCCATAATAAACCTATTTTTAAACTAAAAGTTAATTCACTGTCTATAGAAATTGAAAAATTTGCATCAATCCAACCTATGAAAACTTTTCCCCATTACACCTCATCATCCACTGTCTAATCTGGTTAGGCCTTCCTTAGGAATTCCTACCTATGTGCCTTTGAATATCTATAGTGGGTTAAAGATGGCCATAATACTCTTCATCAAATCTCTCACTGAGATGTCAGTTTGAACGCCATACTTTCACCACCACCCCCTCCAGAGAATCCGGGCTTGTCCTGTGACTACTGCAAAAGTGAGGTGGTGCCAATTCTGGGCCTTTAAGAGGACTCAGCAGTTTTTGCTTTCTCCCTCTTGGAACACAGATTCTTGGGATGTTCCCTTTTGGATCTTGGCTACCAGGTTGTGAGAAGCTCAGGCTATGTGGAGGGGCCATGTAGAGAATTGAGAGGCTCCAACTGACTGCCCCAGATGATCTTCCAGCTGACAGTACCAACTGTTACCCATGTAAGGGAGCCATCCTGGCCCAGCAAGATCTAAGCCCCAAGACCCAGCCTTTATCACTCCAAGCAGAACTGCCTAGCTGAGACCATTCAAATACAAAGAATCAGGAGAGATAGTGAGATAGTTGTTTTAAGTCATCAAATTTTGGAGTAGAGCTATAACTAAAGCAATATCCTGCTTCTTTCCAATTTATTCCAGTTGCCTTTATATTACTTTTTCAACTAGACTGTAAATTATTCATGGTCACAGATATGGCTCTATTTGCCTCCCATGTGTCCCTGTAGCTATTAACACATTGCTAGACACATGGGACTCTGATTACCTGAGGTTCCCAGTTGAATCATAAATAACAAAATGGAGAAGCAAACAGAGGTAAAAAGGGGCCCTTGGATATAAAACAAATTTTTAAAGACAGGATTTTTATTAAACCAATATTAATAACTAATGTAAAAAGAATGTGTCTTTCATTTTAATCTGTATTATCTGAACAAAGGAATTAACTGTCATTTTATGTGTTTTTGTTTGTTTGTAAACTGAACTTAACATATTAAGTTTAGTTAGAAGCATTGTCATCTATTGGAAATTTATATATGGAATTGTAAAAGAAGACCAGATTGAGTGGAAATTATGATCTGATTCAAATAAATAAAGAGATAAATAAGTAAATGGAGGAAAAAAGCAAAAGTGATTGTTTGGAGCTACACAGTAAAAGGGGTGAACATAATAATTTTCTCCCTCTAGTTTCTACCATATATTCTGCATGTACTTGATTTGGGCAGTAACGGTTATTATACCCAGTCACTGAAACTAACAATGTTCTGGGAATGGGTACTGTTTGCAAGACCATTTAGTAGTGTAACAAGTATGAAGCATAATTCATGTCAGAATCCTGGATTCAGCAAACAGAATGACAATATGACAATATGTCTATTTGGGATCCAGGGCTTTTTTTTTGAGGGGGGGAGGGTATGAAGAAACCATTATTTAAAACGTGAAGAATTTTTAATTTTTTTAATTCCAAGTTTACCTTTGAGTACTTTTATTTCTTAATTGTTAATAACATCTATAAGGCAGAAAATGTCCAATATACTTAAATAATTACCCAAAACCTTTCCTTGAGGACCAAGCCTCCCAGCAAAATCTCTCCATGCTGTTTCTTCTCAGAATTCATATTTCTATGTTTCAGAACTGCACTTGCTGAGAGAGAAAAAGATCAGAAAATAATGCAGAATACAAAAGGCAGTGTGTGTGTGTGTGTGTGTTTGTGTAAGGGTGGTGAGGAATTAAGCCTCTTGCTCTCTGGATTCTTGCATTTGTGAAAAATTGAAGGGTAATTGGTCTTTACATAAAGGACATATTTAAAAACATTTATGAAACGTGTTTATATACTTTTTTGAAATGCAAGTGATTCACAAAGACAAATATTGCAGCACAAAGCTTTATTCATGCAGTCATACAGCCAATATATATTGTTCAAATACATTTTAAAATCATAATGTGAGGAGTTGAAGGCATAATAACTCTTTAACACTCACATCTGTGTCTTTCTCAAGTGAGCCACGGATAGAGAGTAGAAGTGGGTGGCAGAGGGAGGGGGAGGAGAATAGGGAGCCAGCGAGCGAGAGATGAAGAAGAGAGGAAGAAAAGAAGGGAGAGGGAAAATACCAAAATACCGTTCTGGGGCCCACAGTCTCATCTATCCCAAGTATGTGGGCATCACATCTAGCCTGTAACAAAGAGATGGCCATGGCGATTCTTTTTGGTTCTAGACAGGGCTGATACAAGGGGGCACTGCATGCATGTCTGTCGCCTCATTTAAGTCCCCATTCCTTCAGGAGTTATGAGCTCTGGATCCCAAGAGTACCCAATGCACGTTGCTAGGCACGCAGGTCTCTCGGAGAGGCTGCCCAGGTTCGTGCGTGTGCGCTCAGGGGCGTTGGTGCATCTGTATGTCGGGGAGAGGGAGGAGTCCCTTCTGCCAGAGATAAGTCTCGATCCCCACATTTTCCGGGTATCATGGGAGGAGTGTGCGAGGTCGGAGGGACAGGTAGCCCTTGCAGTGAAAGAGTGCGGAGTGCGGACGAGCAGGGCGGGGGAGGAGCGCGGAGGCACTGCCAAATCTTAACGGGGCCCCGGGTGTTTGCAGACCCAAGTATAGCGCCCTGGGTCTCCGCGGGAGTCGCTCCAGAAGCTGCTGCCTGAGAACCCCGAGCCTCAGCCCTGCCTCGCTTCGGGAGCCTCTTCCTCCTCCCCCACCACGTACCTGGCCTGAGCGGCGGGACCCGGGAAGCCCCTCTCGGCGGGACGGGCCCAGCCTCGGTCCTCCTCCGTCTCCCGCGGCCGCCGCCGCATCCGGGCTCGCTACGCTCCCGCCGGCACCATGGAGGAATCGGGGTAAACCCGCGAGCGCCGGCGACTTTTTCTCCGGAGTCTCTGGCCTGGCGCCTTTTGGGTGAGATGAGTGGGGGAGCGGGTATCTATGCCGGTCTGAGGTTGCCCCGAGAAGCCCTGGCCGAGAAAGAGAGGCTCGGCGGAGGCTGGCAGCTGCAAATCCACGTCCTGCAGCGTCTTCGCCCTCCCCTCTTCCTCGCATCGGGGTTTGTTTATATAGGGTCTGGAAGCCGGGAGGAATTGCCCACCCCCTCCAGGCGGCCCGCCCTCCCCTCCCGGGCTCGGGCTCCCGCACGTGGTCGGCACCAGCAGCCTCTCGGCGAAAGGCAGACGACAGCGAACGAGGAGCGGGCGGCCGGGAGCTAGCGCTGCGCAGCTTCGCGTACTGCTCGCCCTCCCCGGCGCCCTCGCCCCTTGCCCAGCCCAGCGCAGACTCGGCTTCACCTCCCTTCATCCCCTTCGCGGGAGGCGAGGCTGAACATACCGCCTTTCGGGTGCTCGTGATGTTTCTCTGGGGTTCGCTCAATTGCCGGAAAAGAATGGTAACATGAAGAGCGGAGCGTGAGAGCGTCACGCGGGAAGGGGAAGAGATTGATGGGCAGAGCGCTTACTTCGCGGAAGATCACGTTCCGAGGGCTGCGCGGGGCGAAACGGCGCGGAGCCTCCACTTCCTGGCTGGACTCCGCTGACATCTGTAGCCTCCCTTCCAGCAGGTTCCCCGCTCGCGAGCCGCTGCCTGCGGAGGAGAGTTTAGACAGCGCGTGAGCATCCAGGAGTTTGTGGACCTCCATCCAAACAGGAGTTGTGCTCCGGTGCCCGTGTCCCTGGATCCGTGTGGAGCCCGCCAGCACGCTGGCTTCAGAGGGAGTTGAACTTGAGTTCAGGTGGGTTATCCCAGGGGGAGCACAGGAGGAGACAGACGTTCAGGGAAGACGAGGAAGGTGATGTTCCAATGTCAAAAGCGGACGCTTTTCTTCCTGACTCTTGCTGGGGCTGAGCCGCTTCCTCCCACGTCGTTCCCCCTACTGACCCGCTCCTCCCTAATCCAACCCTCCCCCACTAAGGGGGGAAAACACCACCACTGCTGTGTTCTTACGTATCTAGAATGCTATAGACTTTCATAACTTATGATTATGTGTCAAATCCATTGCTTTATATTGCGAGAGGCTTAATGATTTCCTCAGTCAAGTCATTTACTTCTAAGCCAATAGATAATGCCTTCGTCATAGTTTTCTGGGGGGAAAGTAACTGTGCGTTTGTTCTGCAGATGCCCAACTCCCTCTGAATCCTGCAGATTGGTGCTGAGCACGCAACAAAAGTTTTTAGCTTCTCCTCAGTTTCTGGTGCTTCGCAGGGGAGAGGAAAGGACTTTGGCATTAAACACAAGAAGCAGTCAGGGAGCCATCTCCTTTAACTTTTCTTCTCTGTTATCATTTGCAATGAAGAGGAAACAGAAGAGATTTCTGCAGATGACTTTGTTATTCATGGTGGCTTTAATTTTCCTGCCCAATATTGGTCTCTGGTCTCTGTACAAGGATAAGCACTTGGTGAAATCTACAGAACCCGGGGAGCAGCAGGTAAGTGCCATCCGGAGAAAGCTCACAGGATTGGTAAGACATGCAACTCGCGGGGACACAAGGAAGCAAGTGTGGTAGCCTTGGGTTTTCTCCCAAGTATTTACAGGGCACATATTACAAGACTCGAGACTTTGGGGTTTAAGAAAGTCCTTGTTTTAAGATCTCAACTAATGACGTGGGTGAAATGTAAAATAAACTAGAAAAGAAGGATAAGAGAGGAAGAGAAGACAATCTCTCTCAGTTGGTCTTTAGGTTGATTTTAACTTGAGGTGTATGAAAGGTAACTGCTAATTTGTGGGATATGGAAGTGGGTTTGGTACAAGTTTAGTCACGGAGATTTGTTTTTGCTTTTCATCCGGTTTGGGTATCTACATTAAAGTGAACTGGGCCAATTAAATCATTAAACTTGTGAAGTAGTTCTCAAAAAACAAGCCACAGCTTTCTATATTTTTGGTTGTAATTTTTGCTTAGCAACAGCTTTTTACTCTGTGGAAACTTAAAGTCTCTGTTTTTTCTCTCCTGTTGCTAAGGTGGTGTGGTGGGGTATACAGGCAGAGTTATCGAGGATGTCTGTTCAGTTTCACAATCTGGTGATAATAGTTTGTTGCTAAAGGCTTTCCTTCATATTTGAAACACTGCGTAGCGTGGTATGTTTTGTTTTCACGTATATGCAATCTGTTAGTATGTGCAACACTCATGACCTAACATAGGTCAAAATAACACTTTCTTAGTGAGTAATAATGCAAAAAATCCTTCACGAAGTGTTGATGAGAAGTAATATTGTTGAATTTCTTGTTTATTAATAAGTAAGACAGCTTCTGTAATTAAACTTTTAACAATAGAATGCAGCCTTCTTCGTGGTATTGATGTAACACTTTTTTTTTAACTAGTCCTGTGCATCACCTCAGAATATTAATATTCTTAATTTCAAGGGTCATCACCCATGTACACTGTGTACCTTCCACACATATTATGTGTTTAAATAAAAGTCCATTTGTGGACAACAGGAATATATATCAAAGGTAATTAAATATTTGTTCTTATACTTAACAAAGTTTAATCTCTTTATACAGTGAGTGGTATACATGTGAAATACATGGAGGTAATCTGCTTTTTCATTTTAAGAAGTGATGGTTACCAGTCTGTAAACTTTAAAGATAACTAGTTGCTTATGGATTTTTGGTAGATTGGAATTTTGAGGAAAAATGTTGACATGTTTTTGTTTAGTTGTTGATCTCTACCATCCTTTCTAATAGGGATATAACTTTGATTTGAAGTATATTGTTTTGTTATTCCAGTGAAAAAAAGGAAGATGGGCACTTTGAATGTGAAACTTTTTTTTCCTATTTAGATCACTCATTTCTCCATCCTTGTTAAGAAACAAAATTTTGTTAACATTAGTAGTTAATACTAATGTTATTATGTAAAATTTCTATTTCAAAATAGTTAAACTAACAAAAGCAAAATGACTTTTCCTTGAGTTTTGTTAATTCAATTAACCATAACCATCTGAAGTATTTGTTGTATAGCTAACATAAAACACTAATTAATCTTATTAATGAGATCTTTACAACTTTCACACTGGGTCTTACTGATTTTGACTCTTAATGAGAAATTTGTTTGTATAATGGTATTAAAAAAATGAAATATGGCAAATCAACTTTCTGAGTTACTGTAATCTGCAAAAGAGTTTCCTTGTTCTGGTTCTTTTGTAGTACCAGTGATACTTAATATTAGGTAATAAATTAACCATTATGAAAGGCATGCGTTGGTAAGATAAGGAGGTGTTTCTCAAAGTTTCATACACTGTTGAGTAAATAACTGATGGAGATCTCGTGACATTCCAGTTTAATAATCCTCTGTAACAGCTTTGAAACCAAGAGTAAAGTCAGGCAGTAATATGCCATAAAATGAATGTCGATCACATACTTTAGTAGTTTTTAACCTAAATAATAGTTTTAAAACTAATTCTTACAGAAACAAAATAAAGTTAAAAAGGTAGAAATTGTCACTTACCGAAAGATAGAATTCATTGTAAAACAGGAAAAGATAAGCTTTTATGGGTTTTATTCCACTGTTAAATATAATTGGAAAGATAATTAGGATAGTTGACATTATACAAGTATTGGATAAGTAAGAGTTAAGTCATATATGTATTATAAATATATATATATATATACACGACCAAATTAAAAAATGACTTTCAGTGATGAATTAAACATGCTCAGTGTTGTGATATAATAGTTTGCTAATGTATCTATAAATCAATGTTAGTAAGTCAGCTAAACACACAGGTTTCCAATTGAAGCATGTAATTTGACTATTGGGTAATGTGTTATTTAAATTTAGCAGTTTGTTCTAAAAAGACTATTTCATGGTTAATTGCTAAAATGTTCTTCAAGAGCCATCTTTTACTATATTTATCCCTAAGTTGTAAAATCGTGAGGGTAAGGATAATGTGCTGATTGAGGCATTGATAGCAGTAAGTACTGAAGCTATTCAAAACAAGTCACGTGCCCATATGAGCGGTCTATTTTTACAGCAGTTATGTGTAAAACAGCATGTGTGATGTGCTGGTGGTCACAGGAATTGAAAACCTTCACCATTTTAAATAGTTTAATTATTACAATGGGCTGTAGGGAAATACTTCAATTTATGGAGATTCAAAATCATGGAATGGCTAACACTCTTTAAGTTCTCCTAATTTGTATTTTATCAGAGCACATCACTAATAGTTTGTCTATCCACTGTTCAGTATAAACAGTATTTATTATATAATCTGAAACAAAGTGAGGGTAAACAGAAAACACTGATAGAAACTATACGTTAATTTTCATGCTGTTTAGTATTTTGCACATTTTTTCGCATTTTTATACTATTACAAGTTAATTGTATTTATTGTCATTTCATATTAAGACTAATTTTATGACAATTCCCTATTATAATATTTACCCATTTATGATGCAGAAAAGAAAAAAAATAAAAATTCCCAAATTATTCATCTAAAAGTTTTTTTTTTTCTTTTCTCTCACACAACCAAAGGGGATTGAAAAAATTTAATAATGCAATAATTAAAGTGTGTATTTTATTGTTTGGGCTCTGCAAAGTTGGAATCCAGTTACTAAAATAATTTTTAAGCTTTTGAGATTTTTAATGTTTTAGAAAAGTTTGAAGATATTTTATAGTTTTGGTTTATATGTTATCAATCATAATTGTCATATGTTATTTTCAGTTGAGTAATTTTGTCACTTTTTTGCTTTTATGGGGATGATATAATTATCCCCTTTGTTTTGTTTAGAAATATATACATATATTATAAAATAATCTATTGATAATGAATATGATATTTAGCTGAGAATGATTACTGTATGATTATTGTGTAATAATTCTTCTCATTTTTCTCTTAAAATTTGAATTGCTGTTCTTCTCTGCTTTCAGCTGCATTTAAATTAACATTATGTATTTGGATCTTAATTAAACAGGCATTAGGGTGATAATTAGAACAAAACAATATTTTAGAGCAAAACTACTTCACTCAGCATTATTATACCTTTCTTCCTAATTATTCACACAAGAATAGGTAAATAAAAACTACCCCCAAAACACTTTGTTTTCCTAAATACATTGAAAAGCTTAATAAAAAAAGTAGCTGTAGTTTTGGCAACAAAGTTGCAAATAATATGACTTGCAGAAATAATACAAGAATATTCAGAATATGAAGAAGGTCTTGCAATATTTTTGCAAATCATTTTTTGAAATGAAAGAAGTAGAGTCAAATTTCCAGAATTTTAAATCAGACATTTTCACAATTATTCAGAATGATTTTAGAAACTTGTGTTTGGCCTGGATTTTTTTACCACATTAAAAAACCAAAACTAGATACTCATGTCACTTTTAAATTGTAGTACCTTCTTATTTCTTTGTACTTAGGAAGTTTTATTGATGAAATAGGGCTAATCGTCGTTGCCACATAAGGTACATAAAGTTCTGAAATCACATCTTGGGTATGGAAAGTATTGTGTAGTAATATTTTGTTTTTAGTCAGATCCATATGTAAGCTGTACATGACAGATGTGGGGCTTCACCTTCATTTAAAAAAAAATAATCTTCTGAAAGATTTCTCAGCATCTTTGACCAGCTCTTCTAAATGTTAACCACACTTTGGGGGGATTCTTTCTTTTGGCTAAGAACATTTTTCCCCTGTGGCATTTTAAACCTGTTTTATGATGTGAAGATGTCAGATAATTGGTACTGAGTATATGCAAACTGTCTTATGCTTTTCTTTGTCATGCTGATCACTAAAGCAGTAGAGTGTGTCTGTGTTTCTTTTCCAGCAAACACCTTAGATATTGGAAGAGCTAAGAACAGGAGAAAAAAAATAAGGTTTTCTCTCTTCCTGCACTCAGGATTATCAGTGCACTAGATGTGAAATGATGCATTAGTTTGAGCCATACTGTTCTTAATTAGCTAAAATGTAGGTTTTAAATTAGGATTTTAAAGGACCTTTTCTTGAATTTATGGAAAATCCATTCTGACTCGCTACAGGATCACACCACACAGACCACTGTAACAAGTGTCTTAATTATTTGCTGTGACCTCGTAGATCGCAACATGATTAGTTCATCACCTTGCCTCCTGGGAGACTGTGTGAAACACAGTCTTCTGTTCACAATCTGGTAAAAAAATTAGATAGGTTTTTCTCCTGTCCATTGCTGTGTTGGATAAGCTGTGCTGAATCAATTAACCTCCTATATATTTTTTAATCTATAAAAGAAACCAAGTCAAGACGGAATATGTAGGGAAAAGGGTAAGGAAGTTTGGGTGCTTTAAGTGGTACAGAGAAGAGAATTGAGGGTTTTTTTTTTTTTTTTTTTAAGTTCTGTCAGGAGTAGCCATGATAGCCTTTAGGGAAGGTTGCAACTCTGTCTCCCCTTGTAACACTTTTGTACAGGTGAAAGTCAGCTAAGGTACATCAAGAATAACCTTAAAGGAGGGGATAC